TACTGTCTTTTTACGCATTGCATCGCGCCGCATAAACATAAAACCCATGTCTGCATTTGTGATCGGAGAAATATAATAATATATATAATCCATAATTATGTCCCCAATGGATGCAACGAATGCCTCGTTTATAATGGGTTTTCATGTTTTTAAATCATCGCTCCGGCCTGACAGGGCATCATCACAGTATGGTAGGGGCGTAACATTTCCGTCACACGCTTGAGGTATTCGGCCAATCATAACGCACTGGATAGCTGGCCAATCACAGCACACCTTGCTTTTCAGAAAGATGAGCTTTGTAAAAATCGACGCGTTTCAGAAAGGCGGGGCATAGAGGAGAAACAATAATGTACAGTATGTGGAAAATAATGTGTTTATGCGGTTTATGTTTCAAAAAACACATTTCATTACACCAAATACACAAAATAATATTCTTTTTAGCAACATCATATGACCCCTTTAAAGTTAATGAGATAATTAAGTGACTAATTAAACGATGATTGTGCATTAGTGATGAACACCTGCTGTTATTGAGAATTACAGAGGATCAGGTGTTGATGTTTTATTGGTTAAAATGAAGGCACCATCATGGAGATCAGTGTTTGCTTTAGTTGGGCTCTTGACACTTGAATTCTTGTGTTAGAGCTCTCTTTGTAAAGCTGCATGTGGTGTTGTACAGTGAGGAGATATTTGCTGTTTTTTTTAATTCACATTTATATTTATTCATTTAGCAGATGCTTTTATCCAAAGTGTCGCACAAATGAGGACAATATAGGTAATCAAATTCTACAAAAGAACAATTATATGATATTTATCATGAACTGGCCTGATTACATTCAAAATAGCTTTTTTTATTTTATAGGTTTAGGTTTTGAACTACCAGCTCTGTGAAACCACAGTATGCAAGCAGAGTGTTGCTCTAACAGTTATAGTGAATGAATTTTAAATCTATGTAATGCATATTAAAATGTGAACTCCTGTAAGAATTAGACACACACATACATCAAGAACCAGCATTTGAATCTCAACAATGGTGACAATCAACAAAATGCTTCATGCTGCAATGCATGCTGGGTAACACCTTAGTAAAAACTCCCATCATGCACTGCAGTATGAAAAATTGTCACCACTGTTGAGGATCGTATGATAAGTGTTCATGTCTAAAAGCCTGTTCTGTAATAGTAGAATGTCAGTCAATAATCCAAAGAAAGACATCACGTGATGATGTTAATTCAAACTAGTTTTAAGCAGAAAGTACAAGCTAATCTATTATTTCATGCTTTTGATTCAGCAATACAACAATGTTTGCTGTGAAATAATATTGTAAGTGTTTAGAAGCAAATTACTTTAACTTATTAAAAGGGTCAAGATACAAACTAAAGCAAACCTTGACCACAATTATGGTGGCATTGTTTTTTTCTTCAGTTGATTCCATCCAAGGCTTGTTTCTCTTTTATTCAATGATGTTGATTGTTAACAGCAGGTGTTCATCACTAATGTGCAATCATCATATAATTAGTCACTTAATTATCTCATTAACTTTAACTCTTTGAGGACTTGGGATTTGACTTGAGACTTGCTTGTGACTTCAAAGGAATGACTTGGTTCTACCTCTGACCTCCTGGCTGAAAAACTGTGCTAATTAGCAAATCCAGGTGATTGGAACAATCTTCCTCCAGACTCCAGACCTTAATTTCCAAATGAAATGCAAAATTAGTTTAAAAAAAAAAAAAAAAGAGGACTTTGGACCACTGAGCAACAGTCCAGTTCTTTTTCTCCTTGGCTCAGGTAAGATGCTTATGACGTTGTTTCTGTTTCAGAAGTGGCTTGGTAACCCTTTTCAAGAATTAACATTTTTCCTGTTTGTTGCTGCCGTGTGTTTTGAGTTTGAGCTCTGTCAAGTTAATTCTTTATCGTCTATTTTTTTTATCTTAAAATCAATTTTATACACCATAATTTTCGTTTCTATAACGTGTGAATATATCCCCTATCGTATTCTACAACAAAAACAATCAGAGCACCTTGTTATCACTAGTTTTATTTTGATTTCCCGAGTCTGCTATTAGCATATAGCCCGTTAGCATCGCCAGCGTGGTTGCCGCTAATCTCGCTTACATTGCTAA